AAGGAGCTCGCACCCTCTCCCGGCCCCGGCTCCCTCTTCTCCCCTTCTCCCGGTGCCCCCTCCCTGCGCACGGGGCGTTTGCCCCCACGGGGTAGCAGGTGCAGCGGGCTCCGGCTCCTGGCTGCCCCCTCCCCAGCTCTGCCCTGCCTCATCCCGGAGCACAAGCGAGAGAAAGGCTGAAGCGACCCTCACTCTGCCCCCGAGGGCATCGGTGCTGCTGGAGATTGGCAGCTGTCAATCATATGGCTGGCACCAGCCTGGCTCATCGAGCATCCCCCAGCGAACCCAGCACCTGCAGGAATGGGGAGAGGGAAACGGTGCTGTTTTGGAGCCCTCCCCAGATTTTGACTTTGGATCCAGGCCCCAGGAGAGAGGGGGGAATCCCTCGCCTTTCCCTGCAGACCCCTGGATCGCCCATAGCCAAGCACATTTCGTCTTTCACGGCTCTGGAAGGCATGTTTGTGTGTCCCTGCTGCCCTGCCCTGCAGAGATCCCTGCTAACCTGCGCCCCGACACCCCCACCCACGGGTGACCCACTACAGGATGCACCCTGGGCACCCTGCCCTGCCCTGCCAGCCCTCCCCAGCCTCCACACCATTAACCACAGCGCTTCAAGACCCTTTGTGTGAGCCACAGCTGTTAGGTAGGGGGGAAAGGACCCCCACCTGGGGCACTGGGCACTTTGGGAGAGGATAACATCCCCAGTGCTACCCAGTGGAGGTCATGCTGAAGCCCTGCAGAGGTGAAGCCATGCCAGGGAGCAGGAAATTTTGTGATATATGCAGACAGTTACACCCTTGGGCATCCCACCAAAACCTCACCAGAGGTTTTTTGATGAGACTCCTGTCTTGGCTGGCAGAAGCCAACTTTAGGTCAGGGAAGCACCATGAGAAGGTGTGTCCTACTTTTCCAAAACTCTTCGAGGAAAACAAGAGGCAGCTAAGAAAAGGAGGCTGGGTGAAATTCCAAATGAAGGTGTGAAACCTGCTGCTGAGGGAAGGAGGCATCGAGGCTTGGGCTGACACTGACACATCAAGGCTTGGGCTGAGACAGAGATGATAAGATACTGAGACAAACAGCCTTTTTCTGTTAAAATGAGTCTTTGGCTCGGTCTGAGGTGAGTACGGAAACATTATCAGGAGGACAAAAATCCATCAGAAGGCCAAGGGGGGAGAGGCAGGCTGGACAGAGCAGGCAGAAAAGCAGGAGGAGGGAGCCTGAGCACTGAAGCAGTGCATCCTTTTGGTTCAAGCTGCTGCAGGGTGTTGCTGAGCCGCCATGCGCCTGTCAGGCTGCACCCCAGAGGTGCTGCAGCGTGGTTTGTACGTGGAATAT